CCCTAAAGGGCAAGTCCCCCAAAGACCTCCCAATAGTCCCACCTCTGAGAGGTGCCACCACCTCCCACTAGCCTCTGGGGTTAGGAAGCAGGTCTTTAGAACATGAGTCTTTGGGAGACAAGATCCAAACTGCAGCACCATAAAACTACCCAGAGCCATTCTTTTCCCAAGGAAAACTTTAAAATCTTTCCTCGTTACATTTTTTCCTCAACGTCGGTGCTTTTCAAATTCTGTAAAATGCTTCTCAATTCTTTATTCACTTGCTCTAAAGAGGGGGCTACTGGTTCTCCTTCTTCCTCCCCACTTCTTCCAAGACTGGGACAGTCAGGAAATGAGTGTTCCGGTGGAAAGGCTGGCTTTGCTCCTCCAAGTCCCCTTAACTCATCCTACCAAGGATGCGCCTCTCGCTCCCGTCCTCGCTGGTGTGTACACAGCAACACCACAGAGCACACACCTGTGGACGTGCAGAGGCGTCAGCTCCATTAGCACCCAGCATATGCCCCTCAAGAAGGGCTGGGCCAACTGCTCTACCCCTCTGCCCCCTGTGGGTAGCCCGTCAGAGCCACCAAGCCCAAGTGGGCTCCTTCAGCTGTCAGGTGGCATGTTTGCAGAGGATGGCGTGGAGTTGGGGGTGAAAAACTGGAAATGCCCCACAAACAGAGAATGTGTCTTTGTGGAAAGCAACAGAAGAATGAGACGGAGGAGAAGACAGAGGTGCACTGGAAGGGGGGATAAAAATGGCGAGGTTTCTGGCCAGGGCAAAAGCAATGCACATTTCAGGAGAAGGGGCCCCAGAGACAGCCTTGAAAACCAGGCCCACTAGGTCCAGCTCCTCCCCTCTGTCTCCATGGGCCCCCCAATTCTGAGACTGCTCAGGAGGAGGAAACCAAGTCAACCACATGGCCACTGTCTCTGTCTGTGCTGCCACGAGGGAACTGCTTCTGGGGCAGGGGAGAGACAACCTGGGAGCAGGGTCGCAGACAGCAGCAGGACTTGCAGGTGCTTCCCTGCTGGAAGGCCTCCTGGGGCTCCCGTTTGATTTTCCCTCCACGTGGTCACTGGCCACATCAGCAAACTCATTGCAGCCTTTCCCAGTAGAGGAGGAAACGTGAGCAGACTTTCATTAATGACTCTTGTGAGCATTAGAAGGCAGATGTGGTAAAGGGACTTTGAAAATACATTTGGCACATTCAAAGACCCAGTGACCCGCAGAGCCCACAGGATATCAGAAAGTAGCCCTTCTGGTTTGGGGTAAGACAGAATGGCAAGCCTGACTTTTACCTGGTCACTCCTGAAGTCTCGCCGTCTGCCTGTGGGTCTGTCACGATAACGGTAATAGGAGGAACAGCGGGTTTCACTTTTGTGTAACTCTGCTGATCTTCTTGCTGCGTTTTTCTCCTGGAGGGCAACCTCCTTAGTCTTGACAGCCTGAGGAGAGTAGGAGAGATTTTAAAACCTCATTCCATAAATGAAAACTCTGAGCCCTGAGATTAGCCTATGGAACTTCTACCATCTTTTCCAACTCTAACACCTTGATTCTGAGTTTAATGAGCTCTCCAACTTGGCACAGTAAACCTATGGCCTGAGATCTGCTCAGTGTGCACCCTGCCTGGTCCACCTGTGGTACCACTGACCAACGTGCGTCCTCTTAATTTTGATGAGCTGCCCACTGCACACTCTAAACTGTAGCACACGAGGGCCATCCTAAGGACTCTGATTCTAGAACAGCTCTCGTAACTTACTGCTGGGCTTTTGAGTGAAATATTCTGTTCATTTTTCTCAGCATTGATTGCTCAGGGGGATGTTATTGGAATAAAATTTAGATTTACTTTCAAGGGAGAATTAAGAATAATCAAACCTTTATTTTATTCCTTGTTTATCCACATATCTTCAAAACTGGATTTAATATTTGGGAAACCAGTTGGCAGCAACCAGTCAGAAACAAGAACTCAAAATGAGGTAGTTGAAATTTTGTACCCACTCACTTCCCTGGAAGGGGTTGACTAGTATTCATTTTCCTCCTGTTCATGAAGTGCAGAATTTAAGTACATAATTGCTAGCGGCCATGGCAAACCATGCTCTGTTTTGTGCCCTGCAAGGTTCAGGATTCACACAGCCTGGCACAGGCTCCCCATGGTGACAGACAGGAGTGGGAACTCCAATGTTGCCACTTCCTGTCTGTCTCAGGTGTGAGCTGGTGGAATTTCATGGGAAACAGGACCACAGGACCTTGCTGTTCTGCAGCATATGTGACAGCATGTGCTTCCCCACCCTATGGAAAAAAAGCAAAAGCAAATTGCTAGGGATCATCGAAAGGAAACCTCAGAATTTGAATTTTGATTCAGGTCAGAGTTCTGCAGCTTTTGACTGTCTGCTCTATACCCCCACCATCTGAGGTCCATGTGGCTACGTGACCATCACCACCTTGGCTTTGACATAATCTGCTCTTCTTTCATGAAAGCTATGTGACTCTGCCCCAACTGGGCTGTCAGTGACCAGAGGCCGGAGGCCAAAGCCCGTTTGTAAAGCACAGGGCACTTATGATGGTGGGTTCAAAGGTTGATGGTTATGAATAGGATAGGATTTCTTATTATGTTGAATTCAAGCAAAAACAGTTCAAATTAAGCTCCTAGATGCAAACTCCATACTTTGGGTACAAATTTTAATATGGGGTTTATTAAAATCTATAGATATTTATGCTGTTTTATCCAGAAAAGGACAACAGCATTAAGTCTGATATTTTCACATGCTTAGTAAAAGTAAAGACACTGAACTTTGTGTAAACGTACCTACACGTCAGTACCAGGCTATACAAGTATCTTATTTTATCTGGTAATGTTCTACCGTGAGTATGAGGTAAAATTGGGCATATAAACCATGTGTCGTGCTTATACACGTGTGGGGCAGAATTTGCATTCGGAGAGTACCTACCTGCCTTCTATTTTGCCCAGATCATAGTGAATGCAGCCAAGGACATGGTGTTAGTCTCAATTTCTTTATCGATATCTTTTTTAGACTGCATGCACTTTGCATCATTGAAAATGTTACAATCATTGAATTAATTAAAAGAAGGAGAGCACCCATCTGTGAGATGGGTAATGTTCGTACAGGCTGTCTGTCTGCATGTGGGAACTGAGCACTTGCTGAATGCAGAGACACCAAGGTCCCTGGTTTGTGAATGAACGTCACGGGGGAAGTCAGTGGGTATCCTTCTCGTTCTGTTTACTTTCCCTGCGGAGGAACTGTTTCCCAGAAAAAGCATCTGGATTCGATTGCTTTTTCATGCACCGTGGGCCCTGATGGAGTCTGGAACCACTTGTGATGTCACGGGCTGTAAATGGCACTCAGAGTCTTGACAGGAAGTTGGAGGCAGGACATCCCCCGAGCAGGGAGGCAGTTCAAGTCTCCTGTCTTTCCCAGCATTCTCTAGGGGCTTAACTACAGCCCCCAAAATACCATTTTCCTTGAAGCAAATAAAAAGCAACACAGTGTTTTCAAGTTAAGAAGTAATGAATTGGATTGGAAATGAAATAATTCCTCACCAAATACCCAAATTGAATATTTTTTGAAGTGTAATTTCACAGCTCAAGGTTCAGGAAGTGATAAATGCCTTAAATCATAAACACTTCACGCTGGAAATTGGTCTTTGCCGAGGCCCAGAAGGCCTGGATAATCTGCATTCTTGTCCCGACCCACAGGGGCCAGTTTTAACCCCAATGGTACTAAGTTACACATTTTATTTTTTAACCACTCAATTTGATTTTGTAAATCCTTGTTTATATTGCTTCAATCTCTATTTAACCCTCTCCATTTAAGAAAGTTCTAACACATGGTTGTTCTGTATGATGCTCTTAATGCCTGAGACCATTTGCAGAATGCTCTCCACACACCCTCTCAGTGTGCCTTTCTTTGCCATGTCTGAGAGTCTTTCTTACTTAAGATGACTTCCCAACCTGTGGACACTGTGGACCTCCTCTGACTCCCAGGACCCGGAACTGAGGATCACACTGCCTCCGTGGCCAGGACCATCTGTCATGTTTGGAGACTGGACTTGCATTCGTTCATCTAAAATCGCATTAGCACTCTCTACCTCTGAGCAATCTCGTCACAGCACTGCTTCATATTAAATTAAGAGTGCCTAAAATACCTAGCTGTGCCTTCTTTCCTAACGATAAGTGTCTATTAGTCAAATCCTGGATTATTTGAGAATGTTTCTCAGGGCATTAGATTGGTATTCATGTCAGCTGTTATATATATTTTTCAGGTGTTCACACTCATACCAAAATTTGGAAAAAATTTCTCAGGACATTTTATGATTTGACACTTGATCCTAGGAGAATTCCAGATGGCTTCTCTTGGTCCTGATTCTCTTGCTTCTTCTTCTTGCTCCTCTCCTCCTCTTAGTCCACAGCACTGGAGAAGGCTCCCGTGAGCTGCATCTTGCACTCTGGGCCCAGTCAACGTGGCCAGGGGGCTGAAACCTGCCCATTTAGCTCCCAGGAAGGCGTGTGCTGGCCTGGGCTGCTTCTGCCCAAAGCAGGAGCATCTTCTTCTGACTCGCACACTGGGGCTTTGCTCAACTAGCAGTGCCCTTGAGAGTAGGGCATGTTGAAATTCAAAAGAGCAGAGCTGAGCCCTAAATGCCCCAAAAGCATGATAAGACCATTTTTAAAAGCCAAGCCATGCTGAAGTGCCTAGATGAAGATACCAGCTCTTCCCTCCCATCCTGGCCCTGTCTTTCTCTTGCACCCAAGATGGAGACATTCTGAGCCTCTGCCTCTGTTTGTACGCTTTCCAACCATCATTTCCTTCTTTCTGGGTTATAAATTATATGACTATTTCTTGGTGACTTCTTGGTCTTTTTTTTTTTTAGATATTCATTTTTTAGTGGATGCAATATCTTTATTTTATTTCTATGTAGTGTTGAGGATCAAACCCAGTGCCTCATGCATGCTAGGCGAGCGCTCTACCTCTGAGCCACAGCTCCAGCCGGACTTCTTTGTCTTTTAGATGTCATAATTGTTTCTGTCAGAACAGAGGACTGAAGTCCTGCACACGCCCCATGGTTCAGTGTGGCGACCCCATCAATTGGCAGAGGCCACAGCATTTGCATTAATGTAAACATTCCTCATTCTTGAGCCAAATGGGGTATCAGATTCCATTGTTTTCCCTTAAACAATTTTAACTTTCCTTGAGATTAATGTAGCCCTGCTCTACTATGTGTCTGGTTTTCCAGCCAGGCCTATTGGTATTCCCCCCAGCTCCCGCAGAGCCAGCGCACAGTCTCCACACTGCTCTGAGCACTCTCTGAAGCTCCTGCAGCCCCCACCCTGGGAGCAGCTGTCCGACACCCTCCGTTCTGCTCCCCCTGCCAGGCTGCACCTTGGCTCACCTGCGGCCCTGGGCCTCCTGCTGCCCAGTTTCTGGCAGTCCCTTCCCTCTCCGGGTTGTCCTGCTCGCTTGCTTCCCTCGGCCGCTGTCTCTGCAGTGCACGCCAACTTCTGGCTTCAGACACCGGCTGCTGGGAGGCGAGAAACCTTCCGTGTGGATGAGCACAAGTTCTAGGTGGAACTCATGTTGCCTCTGAGCTCTGTCCCTTAGCCCCACTGTCCCTGAGCATCTTGAGAAGCAGGTGCCATTCTGTCCAATTCCATCGTAAGAGTCCCCTCTCCCTCTCTGGGGTTCTCGGCCTCTTTTCTGGCCCCTGACGATAGTTAACTCCACAGTGTCAGGGTCAAGGTCTGACTCTGCCCTGAGCCTGTGATATGTCATTCCGCCTGGAGATCCATGTGCTTTAGTTCTGGGTCCTGTCCCCGGAGTAGGTCTGTGACCGTCTCTTCTTCTCACTTACTTTTTATTTTCTGTGCTGAATTAATTCTCATGTCTTCTTATCTTTCCTCTTTTGTAATTTTTCTTCTGTTTGATGAAGGATTTCTTCATTTTTGTCCCTCAAACTCTACTAATTTTTAAACTTTTTAGCATTCTATCTGTGATTCCAGAAGCTCTCCATTGTCCTCCGGTTGTGCCTTTTATGGTGTGATTTTTTATTTGCTAGAAATGCAGTGCCTTTCCTTGTTCCTCTGAGAACACCATGGCTGAGGACTCTTTCTTTCCTGGGTGGTGAATCCCAAGTCTCCTTCTCCTGTGTATTATTAGACCTCGGTCTTCTGTGTCGGAAGCCCCCCTGGACTCTTCTTGTCCTTCACCATCCTTCCCACTCGAAGGAGATGCCAAAGGGCAGCTTGGGAGCCTGGTGAGGAGTGGAGGGTGCTCGGGCATTGCCTGGCGAGCCTGCTACCCAATCATTGCGTGGAGAGGTGACTCCACTCCAGCCCCAGATGTCAGTAACTACAGATTTTTCTTTTGGAACAGTTCAATTTCTCCATAAAAACTCTCCTCTCTCTTATAAGAGGCCAGGCTGGGATTGGAGTGAAGCGTGGATCTCCCCCCAGGAGGTGGACAGGAGGAGGGGGCAATGACACCTCACAGCCTCACGGGTTTACTCTCGTGTCCCAACCAGAGCCTCCTTTCCACCCTCCTGGGTGCATAGTTGTGAGTACAGACTCTCTGTTTCAGTTTTATGAACCATATTTATAAAATGGGTGCATTTCTTCTGGGGATTGCTTCTTCTGGGGATGGGGGACAGTGTATCCTATTTTTTATGGTAATCCAGTTCTTTTAAGTGTTTTCTTTCAATGCTTGCAGTTGCCATATCTTTACTAAAATTAGAACCATACAGAGGAGATTAGTATCATCCCTTTACAAGGATGGCAGGCAAGCCCATTTAAAAAAAAAAAAAAAAAACCTCAAAGTGGACACAAGTCTTAAAAAGAAGAGCTAAAACTCAGAATAAACTATAGAAGACAAGCTTTCTGACATTGGAGTTAGCAATGATTTCTGATATGACACCAAAAGCACAAACAACAAAGAGAAAGAAAACAGATAAGGTGTACTTCATCAAAATTAAAAACATTTGTGCTTCAAAGAACATAAGCAACTGAATGAAAAGCACCCCAAATGGGAGAAAGTGTTAGCGAATCATACGTCTGATAAAGGATTGAGACTCAGACTATATAAAGAATCCCTATAATGCAACAACTAAAAAGCAAACCCAAGCTGCTTCAAATAGAGACAAAGGACTTCAGTAGCCCCTGCTTTAAAGAAGAGATGCAGATAGCCAGGGAGAAGATGCTCAGCACCACTAATCATCTGGGAAATGCAAATCAAAACCACAATGAGACCCCTCACCCATTAGGATGGTTATTACCCAAACAAATATATAAATGAACAAACAATAGCAAGAACTGATGAGGATTTGGAAAAGTGTGAACCCTCCCACACTGCTGCAGCCTCTGTAGGGAATAGAGTGGTGGTCCCTCAAAAGATCCAACTTAGAGTAAATGCACCCAAAAGAAATGGAGGGGAAGGTACCTGGAGCGAGTTTGCCTTAAAACAGCAGCTGCAGTTGCTGTAAATCTCTCTGCAGTTCCACGATGTTTTCCTTGGCCAAAAATGCACTGAGTCGTCTCCAAGTTCAAAGCATTCAGCCAACAATGGCAAGGCAGAGCCACCAGAAGCCCGTTCCTGATGTCCATGACAAATACGGTAATGCTGTATTAGCCTGTGGAGCCATTTTCTGTATTGCTGTTTGGACATACCCAGCAACACGAACTGGAAGAGAAAGAGACCTGTCCTCTGTTGGTAGAGTCACCCCAAAGGAATGGAGAAATCCGTAATCGTGCCAGCAATGTAATACTGAATTTCCAAACCAACTCAGAATTGATATCAAGCAAAAGCACTGTGTACCTACTAAATATGGCATCTTGAAGAAATAAAGTACACTTGAAACAAAAAAATATATATAAGAAAAGAAAAAGAAAGGGAGGGGTGCTAGAAAAGGCACCTGTGGGCTACGTAGGCAGCAGTACTACCCACGATAGCCAAGAGCAGAATGGCCCTCAGTGGACATATACATACACAATGGGATATTTTTCTTTCTTAAGAAGGAGAAAATTGTGGGCTGGGGATTGGCTGAGTGGTAGAGAGCTTGTTTCTCATGTATGAAGCCCTGGGCTCCATCCCAGCACACACACTCACACACTCACACAAGCAGGGGAATTCTGACACTCACTACATCACAGACGCCCACTGAGAACCACCCAGTGAATCGCCAGGCATTAGGAAGATGTGTGTGGTGGGGCTGCACTTGTGGGAAGTGCCTGGAGGAGGTGCGTTCACAGAAACAGAGGTGGCTCTAGGAGTGGGGGTGGGGTGGGGGTGGGGTGGGGGTGTCGGGGGGCTGTGGAGAGGGACAGAGCTTGTTTTGCAGGGGAGGAGAGTTCTGGGAGGAGCCGTGCCAATGGCACAACTCCCTGAGCACAGCTACTGCTGAGAGCAAAACTCTCCACGTGGCTAAAACGGCTGATTCCGTGGAGTGTACATCTCACCATGATTTTAAAATGGAATTGTTTGAAAATCAAGGGAAGTGACCAAATCGGAGAGACTTTGGTTCGCAGAGCTCTTTCCAGATGCCCAACCCTCTCCAGGACCTCTGTCCCTCTCCTCCCCGTGACAGGGTTCTGTCTGGACCCTCCCTGCTGCTCCTGGGGTGGCCCTCTGCTCCTTCTTAGAGGGGGACACCTTGGTCCTCTAAGCGAATCTCATCCCCTAAAACTCCCCAAAGCCAGCCTTGCTGTCCCCGCCCTTTTCTCAGGCCCCGCCCTGGAAACTGCTCACAGTAGCTGGGACTGTTGCCTCTACCTCCCTATTAGAAGATGAGGTGGCCTCTCAGTTTCGGGACCCCCTCCTGGGCCATCCAGGTGGCTTGAGTCCATCCCGAGCCTCCTCTGTTCTGCCCTGCAGAGTCAGAGAAGAGAAGAATGCCAAAAAAGCTGTCACATTAAGAATTCACAAACCAAGTCAATGACTAATTAATAACTTGTGAATTTTGCAGTTCTGCAGACTCAGGGCTCCATGCCAAAGCATCAGAAATGACTCACTATTAGTAAACTCCAGAGGACCCCAGGGCCCTGCTGGGCTCAGTCTCTTCTGCTGCAGCAGGGTCCAGCTTGGAGCTGCACACCCAGGCTTTGTGCAGTTGACACGGGACAGCCTGCTCCAAGCCTTCAGCAATACCCCAAGTCTTTCTGCAAGAACCTGTTGTTGTCCTTGTTTATCCCAGGTGTATAATGCTGGACTCCCAGACTGCGGCTAAGGGGAGACCTTCCCAGGGAATAAGCCTGTGTCTGTCATGACCTTGAACTCCAGTCCTGGTGTGGAGAAGAAAGGGAGACCCAACTGGCAGGAGAGAACAGGATTGGGAGCTGCCCGGAGGGAGGGACCTGCAGTAGCAACCAGAGGACTCCACCAGGAAGAGATGCTGGGCAGCTAGGAGGCTCTGCCACAGAGCCCAGGAGGAAGGTCCCCCTGTTTAGAGTGAGCCCATTTGCTCTGCTTCCTCTTGAGCGAGTAGGCTTATATCCTTTTCCTCTGAAGATCAAATTCACATACTATAGTTTAGAAATGAGGCGTCCCCCAAAAGCACACATGTGAGACCATGAAGCTTACAGGTGAAAGAATTAGACTTTGAAAGTTAATCACAAGATTCACCCACTAATATGGACCCACTGGGGCAGTGCAAGAAAGTTTAGAGGTGAACTGATGGCTGCTGAGGGCTGTGACCCATCTTGCACTGCCCCCTGATAGGGACCGCCTGGGTGGTGACCGTGGGCAGGGAGGAGGTGGGCCCCTGGGCTGGGCCTTTGGGGTTTGCACTTTGTCCCTGGTGAGCAGAGCTCTCTCTGCTCCTGGCTGCCGTGTCTGAGCTGCCTTCCTGCCCCACGCCCTTCTGCAGTGATGCTCTCCCTCCCCTCGGGCCCAGAGCAACGGAGTGGGCCAACTTAGAACTGAGACCTCTGAAACTGTGGGCACCAAGTAGACTTTCCCCCTCGTCAGGTCTGCTGGGCACAGTGACTAAAGCCACCTGGCCCCTCGCCGAGGAGGAGGGTCAGCATGTGCACGTGAGTCTGTGCGTGTGTGCATGCGTAGGAGTGTGAGTGGGGGCGTGCTCGCGTGCGTGTGCACATCTGTGTGCTGCCTGTTTGTGTCCCTCTCTCCCCTCCAGCTCCTCCTGCTCTTTGTTCTCCTGGACTCTGTTAGTCCTCCCCAGGTCCCTTCACCCTCAGGGGAGCTTGGTCTTTTCGGGGCAGCTCCCTGCCCTTCCCCCACAGTTCTCTTGGAATCTGCTAAAGGGACATTTGGGGAGAAATCCACAAACACAACATTGGCTAAAATTTAGGTGACGCTCATCTGACACACACGGAGCTTCTGTTGGCTGGTTTTGGGATCCATGGGCCGGTTGCGGCTCTAGAGTGAATATTTCTGATCTTACAATTAAACATTTTAAAATCCTGATTTTCATCCGTGCAAAACGTTGACAGCTTATCCCAGAAGTATTTGTGATCCGCTTGTCTCTATGCCTCCGGCTACTGAGTGTGAAGGAGAGCACCCTCAGCCCGGTCGCACACACACCCAACACAAGTCCCACAGGTACCCAACCCCACAGGACCACCCAGTGCACGTTGCCAACCTGTTCCTTCTCAGCTGTCCCCTGCACTGGGCTCACTGCTCCCCCCTGCGCCTGGGCCACTGAGCCTGGGCTCCTGCTGAGGGCATGGGCACCCTGCTCTGTCCATCTAAGGGCACTGAACCCACACAGGGCCTGCATGCACACAAGAGCTTGCAAAACAGCCAGCAGAGCAGCCCACCCCGGGGCACACTGCCCACCAGGGTCCTGTCCTGGGCAGGTGGATGCACCCCAAGTGCTGGAGCCCCACAGCGTCTCCCTTTGTGTCCATGGGCCCCTGGGCTGGGGCTGGACCACAAGCAGCAGCCACTCTGTATGCAGAACTCTTTTTTGCCTCCACCCTGTGTCTGGAGACTAGTCCAGCCATCCGGCCCGTCGTGAAGCTTGCCACTTCTTAAATACATGAATCAACAGAGGCTCCTTTCAAGGGGCCCCAAGATTCCTTCATGATTCAGTTCCTGTTTCCCCTGGTCTGAGACTCAATCCCTGGCACTGCTCCGGCTTCCCCCAGAGTGTCACGGGCCAACGAGTGTTGCTGGGAGGTTGTGTCTGGAGGGTGTGGGCACCATAGACTCCCCTCTGCACCTGGTGGAGCCACACCACCCACCAACCTTTATCTACTTTCACCTGCAGTCCACGTGGCTGAATTCCAATCACAGTGTATTCCTCTTATTCTAGAAAGCAAACTTGGCTTTGGACTTTCAGATCAAGGTATCATTACAATATACTGAAATTCGATGGGGCTGTACATATCAGGCCACAGGACTGTAGTTCTAGGGGGTCATAATAGAAAGATGAAACTCACTGGCTGCTACGGTTTAGAGGTAAGGTATCCCCCCAAAGCTCGTGAGACAACGTGGGAATGTTCAGAGGTGAAATGATCAGATGAGGAGAGGTGTGACTGATCCCTGGATCACCCTTAGGGATTACCTGGTGGTAACTGTAGGCAGGGGGTGGCTCCAGGAGATGGGTCACTGGGTGTGCCTTTGGGGTTTCTATTGGTCCCTGGTGAGCAGAGCCCTGTGCTTCCTAGATGCCATGTCCTGAGATGCTCTCCTCCTCCAGGCCCATCCTCCATGATGTTCCGCCTCACTCGAGCCCAGAGATATGAAGTCGGCCGACCATGCACTGAACCTCTGAAACTGTGATCCAAATAAATGTTTTATCCTCTATGTCATTCTTGTAGATCTTTTGGTCACAGCAATAAAGAAAAAGGTGACTAAAACTCAGGCTTTTCCTAGGAAGGGTGGGTGTGACTGTGGGCTGCAGACAGATTGGAGTGACACAAAATAGGAAATAGGAAACACTGGCTGCCCAGCTGCGGCTGGCTGTGTGCTGTGGCTTGTGAAGTGCGTGGTCCAGTGAGGTCCAGGATGCAGGTCACAGGACTCGCACACTGTTGTGCGTTGGGTCTTGTTTTCACAACACAAAGCTGTGCTGATAATGGTCTCGTGTGAGCTGCACGTCATGGCTTATTTGTGGGCCTTTATGGGCAGTTGACATGTCAGTTATACCTCAGTAAAGCAGTCTTGAAATATGTTGTGATGTCGTGGGTCATATTTCAGTCCAAAATATTTATTACATATCAAAACTCTTCATCGCGCCAATAAAGCATTCAACATCCGTACTGGGACTGGGAACTTATTTATAATTGTCATATGGCTCTTCACGTCAAGCTTCTGTGACCTCAGCTTTCTCTGTGAATTATGTGCCAAAATACACGATGAAGACGCAGGGACCCGTGAACCCAGAGCCCCACCCAAACAGACTGCACCAGAAGCCCAGCTCCTCCTACCAAGCGGAAGGTCAGACGTTTCTTTTAAAAGCATTGATACTTCAGGGTCTTTCCTCCAACCGCCTTGTCTGGTGCCAAACCTCAGGCTTCACCCCTTTGTTCCTCTCCTCGGTCAGTACCTTCAGCCTAATGCCGTAGCTAGCTCTTGTGACCTGTCACAGTGGTGCCCTTTCTGATGAGCCCCTTTGTTGAGACAGACTTCCCTGGTGAACTTGTGGAGAGGGATTCGGTCAAGCCCTGCAGTCCCTCTCCACCGTCTGAATTAGACACTGTGGTCACATGTAGAGGGCAGGACTTGGATGTCTCTTTCAGACGTTATGCTACACGCTTCAGAAGAGCCTCATGGGTCAGGGGACCTCAGGTGCTCAGGAAGCACCTCGGGTGTGGCTTCACCCTGGCCAGCCCACCCACCTTCTGCTGCTTTAGCTGCTGCTCCAGGGTGAATGACAGATGCCCCAGGCCGGCATCACCCCGTTGCAAACATGCTCCTGAGACCCTGTCTGGGGCACGCACCAGCACAGTCCCCAGCTGTCTCACAGGCCCGTGGTCAGGCTGCACCTGGCATCGATGAGGTCCTGGTGCCTGGCCCTCCACCTCTGCAGCCCCTCTCCCTCTCTCTTACTCTGTGTGTCCTGCCGAGGCTCTGGACTCACAGGCTGGGGGAAATCCTCGAGGCAAGTCTCCCCAGTGAATTGTTCCTCCTAAAGCCCCCTCCCAGGGGCCAACCCTCGGGGTCCAGCTGACCTCCAGCCTGGTCCGCTCAGCCTGGAGCTGTGTCGCGTGTGGTTCCTCTGAACCCACACTCTGATGAGGGTCCTCATCTGTAATAGTGCTAGAGGGAGGCCAGTGGGAGGCCCAGCCACACTGTCCACACTGACCCACCCAAGGTGGACACTCCCGGGGAGTCGGCTCCTGAGGAAGAAGCCACAGTTCCGTGGTACTCGATGCTAATGCCGCATCTTTGTTGCTTTCCCAGCCGGCTGCCTCCCCTTCACAGTCAAAGGCGAAGCATCAGGCCTGCTGGCCCTGCCCAGTCACGTGGACGCCCAGGAGCAGAGGAGCAATGACCCGCCAGAAGGCGCCGTGGGCTCTGGCCATGCAACAGGTACATAGGCATCCGTGCTGGCTCCTGGCCTCCCGAGGACTTGGCCGGAGAACTTCTTGTGTTCTCTTGTCCTGAGCTGGGGCCTCGTGGACAAAGTGGCCAAGAACATTGCCCAAGGTTGGGAGGGGCGTGGGGTTGTGGCCATCAGAATAGGGCCCAAGAACCCAGAAGTGGCCATATGTGTACTCCTCTTGAAGCCTTCTGTAGGACATGTTTTATTTTCTGAGTTAGAGTGGCACCATCTTGGTAAATACAGCTGTCAGATCAGTAATTTAACCTGATGATGAAGAACAGCACCCTGTGCAGTGTGACCAACAAGAGAGGACTTGAGTGTGGAAATTATTTACATTTTCTTTATCTGATGGCCTTAATGCTAAACTAAATGTCCAGCACTAATTTCCTGATTTGAAAAGTTTCATGCCATGGGGTGATTAGAACCTTAGAAGTAGATTCCTGCACCATCAAACAAAGGTGCTTCTCGTTCCTGAGATTGAAATGTGACCCCTTGGCTCCTTAGCTACTCCTCACGTGCATTCACTAAGCCCAGGCTCTGCACAGGACCGGGGAGGACTCCCTGCCCCCAGCTGAGGGCCACTCATCTGGCTGTGTGGGCTCCTTCTCCTGTGGCCATTGAGCCCGCAGCGTGGAGGTTAGTCCTGCTCATCTCACAGGTTCCAAGAGATGTGCTGTGCTTCAGGAGGGACGAGTGCCAGGAGGAAAGCCCAGCAAGCAAGCAGCGCAAGTGGCCAGTGCAGGAGGGCCACACGAGAGGTGGGCGCCCTGGAACTCTCTCTGAGGAGCCCTGGGAAGATCAGGGGACACAAGTCCCTGAAGAAACAAGAGTACGTGTCAAGGCCCTGAGGCAAGACCACCTTGGCCAGTTCAGAGCTGAGCACAAAGCCGGAGCAGACTATGCCCAGTGACAGGGGAGGAGCCAGGTCACCAAACCAGAGAGGGAAGAAGCAAGACCCTGCAGTCCTGGGAGGCCACGGGTCTACATTTCAACTACTGGGAAAACCTGTGCCAATTTGAAGCCAAAGACTGGGATGGAGAGATGGGTCATCTTAGAAGAGCCCTCTGGCTGCAGGAATTGGAAGACAGGAGGCGAGAAGGAGGAGAGGCCAGCGAAGGAAGGAGAAAGAGTGGCAGCTCAGGAGTCGGATGGGGTCCCCGAGTGTGCTGAGATTTCACCTGGGGCCCAGCGCAGGGAGCGGGGTGTGTCCTGGGGTGCTGAACCCTGTGCTTTGGGTGTCGGGGGGAAAGGAGCTTCCCGGGTTCCTCCCAGCTGTGTCCAGTACCAGCAAAGTCAGGGCTCTGGTGCCCAGGGGAACGAGGAGCGAGAGCCTCACATGGTCTAGGGGAACGCTGCTGCTGGACCCTGGATCCTCGAGCCCTTGGAGCAACGCGACCTGGAAGCTGCAGACACACAGGCAGGCACACACCCTGCCCAGGCAGTGCGGAGGACATAAGAAGGCCCTGCGAGCCTGGTCATGGTCCTGTGTCACTGCTGTAACTTCATAAACTTCACTGAAGTTAAAAATCCTGTCTCCCAGTCACACCGCCTTACTCCAAGTGCCCCACGTGGGGGGAGTAGGGTCCTCAGCACGGAGCAAGGCCACTCCACCATCACCAGGAGGCTTGGGGGGTGGGGCTGCCTTCAGTCACAGCAGAAAGGATGGCGTGGAAGGCGAGCGGCTGTCACCGGGGAAGAGGCAGTGATGGGAGACTGTGCAGGTCGCCCTTGGAAGCCTCAAAGGTGGCTCTGCACTGATGGCTACACACCAGAGTTGGGGATGAGAGAACAAGAAACAGAAAACTCAAAGTATGGCCGAGCCAGTTCCTGCAATTATATTTCAAGGTTCTGTTTGTAATTCAGTCCTTGAAACTCAAAACCCAGGGAGAGTTCTGAAACGGTTTATAGAGGAGCTCCCACCCCACTCCACCGCACCCTTGCCCAGCAGATGGAACTGCGTTAGTGCCCTGGGAGACTTCCGAGGCTTAGTAATGCTGGTTTCTCCCAAGATGGAAGAGGATGGAAGGTGGCACCCGGAGGCCTTTCTCTGGGACCCCAAGCACCCTGTGTGAGTGGCCAGCAGAGCTCTGTGGGCAGGGCCCTAAGTTGAAGCCCACCGCCCCAACCGATTTCCTGTGGAGTAAGCAACTGACTTAAAAGCAAACTTTCAGATCACAACGTTGGTATGCTCATGTCTCCAAGTGGGATTGTCCGGTGAACATTCTTCAAAGGCTTAACTAGACTCTATCACTCTTTGTTTTTCCATAACAAGGCTGTGCCTTGGTTGGTCAATGAAATTCTGATAAGGATGACCCTGGGGTTAAGGCCAAAGAATGGTGCTTCATGTTCTGTCAACTCTGAGAAATCTGACTTTTCTTGAGTGAAATCTCGCTAGGTGCTGAAGCTAGGTGCTGTGGCAGCCTGGGAAGTCTAAAGCAAGGTCTCCAGTTTAAAAGGTTTGGGCTTAGGAGTGTCTACGAGAATCCCTGCTCCCCACCCCCAGCACCACTGGGGCAGTTGTGGGGGGCCGTGCTGGGTCTGGCTGGGCCTTGGTAAGGGAGCTCACCTGCCATGCTGCTCCCTGTCCTGGGTGCGTGCCGGTGCCTGGGCAGGTGTTGGCAGCCAAGACGGCTTCTTGCCATCCCTGCCTCCCTGACTCAGGAGCGGGAGACCCGCACTCCAACCCCAGCACACAGGCTCTCTGAGCTTCCCCAGGTCAGGCTCTCTGACCTCCAGGGGCACCAGCGCTGGGTGCTGGCGGGACAGCAGACCACACGTGACAAGACCTTCAGTTTATCTGCCTGGTTTTGCATCTCAGTCTTCCTGCGCAGAGGCCCCAAAGGGATGCTTCCTCTTCAGGAAGCTTCAGGACTTTTTTCACTCTTTAAATCTCCTTGATGTTTTCCACTCTGAATGGTCGACATCCACTACTTGTCTGCAGGTGGGGAGATGGCAGCCTCCTGGGTTCCGTGGAGACAAAGGATGCTGTGTGAACTCTGTGTGACCTCCTGGAAAGCCCACCACCACCACAAGGACCCCAGGAGGCCGGGCAGGCACATCCCTGCTTCTCCGAGGCTGGTTTTTTGAAGTTCTCTGGCCGAGGCAGCCCTTGCCGGATGGGCCACGTGGGCTGTCCAGGGGACAGCCCCCGTGTTCTCCCCGACTGCCTGACACCCTGTCTTCGAAGGAACACAGCGGATCCTTCCAAATCGGTTCCACTGTGTGAGTCTGTTCATCTGGCTGTGGGGATTGTGTGAGGCCTGCTGCCAACAACACCCACGGTGTGTTCTGGCCCCGAGCCCGCAGCCGCGAGCCAGCTCCAGACACGCACAGAATCTCTCTGTTAGGGTGGCCTCGCTGTGGAGTGTGACGCTGCAGCTGGGCTTCCTCCTGCTGGGGGAGCGCGTGGCTGTCTGGGTGTGTACGGCAGCCCTGCAGCCTGTGGGGAAAGGAAACCCTAGAAGCCATGGCTTCCACGACCCGAGGCCCCTGCATTTTGGTGATCCCACTCTGTGACCCGAGGAGTCCGTCCTTGCTGTGCCACCACCAGCCTCCAACATTCCATCTCAGAGAGTCTCAAGGGGTTCAAAATCCAGGAGGGCCGCCACACTCGGATCGACTTCTCCACCCCCAGGCTCCAGAGCAGTGGCCAGGAAGGGGAACCCAGGGGTAACGGTGAGAAGGCTCCATGGGGGCAGGATGGAGTCGGAGATGGGAGGTCCCAGGAGGTCAGGTGACACTTCACTGCTTTGGGCACAAGATCAAGAGTTATAGAGCAAAGAGGTACAGCCCGACACTCTAGGAATAACTTAGACAGTTTAGCATTCAAACATGCAAGGTTTCTTGTCTGTTCTTAAAAACGAGAGCGTCAGATCAGCTTCCAGGTTCCCTGCACGTTGTGTCTAAGACCGATTTTCCACTCACCATTGACGCCTCGAGCTGCTGGTGGGGGAACTGCCCAGCAACAGCAGCAGGTGTGTCCCTCCTCTGTGGTGGTTATACCCAGAGAACCCTGAGCACCTCTGAAACCTGGTGAGGTGGCAGGCATGCTCTTGGCCCCACGGCCAACACCAAAGAGACCCGTGGGGGCTGAAGCCACATGACATCAGCCCAACACCCCCGTGCAAAACTCCTGAGAGCGCCCTTCTCGGGAAAGGACCACAGCCACTGCTGTTGCAGGCTCCGCCCCAGGTGGAGGGCAAGGTGACTGAAAAGTCTGAGTTAGGGTGTTACACTTAGAAAGCTGTTGTCATTTTGTCTAATTAAAAGTCATCATTTGCAAGATTGCGAAGAAAGCTGCGATCTCGCCCTGGCAACCCAACTCGATCTTCGTGCGGATGGTTGTTGGAGCAGGTGAGATGAGTGCAGACACCTCAAACTGCTCAAAGTGAAGGGCCATGGCTTCTCAAAGCTCCCGGGCTGGGTCACTGCCATCCTCCATCAGCACTGGACCTTCCCCACAGCCAGGTCTGGTTCCAAGAGCCTCGGGTCATGTACATAGAACACAGATCTCGGTGTGCTTGGTTCTTGTGCGGGCTGGACGAGGAGCACCAGTGCGGCGAGCAGAGTCCTCGCCAGTGACCTGGGGACCCCCTGGCAGCACAGCCACGGAGCCCCTGTCTGGCCCTGCTCCCTGCTCCTCTGTGTCTCGTGGTGTGGTGCTGTTCAGTTCAAGTTCACAGCGTGCCATCCGCTGTCACTCTCCTGCCAGGAGTCGGTGGATCTCCACAGTTTGCTCCCTGCCACTGTATAGATGTCTGCAGTGCTGGAAGTCCCTCTCTTTGGCCTGGCTGCTGTGGCTTGTGCCCCTGGAAGAGCAGCATGTGTGTCTGCTGAGGGAGGGGGTGCTCCAGCCCAAGTGTCAGAGACTACAGTCAAGGCCTCGGTGCGAAAGGTGTGGCCCCCTCTCCAGCAAGATGCCCACCGGCATCAACAACTGAAGGGCAGTCTGTCTTCGTTGGGAGTTAAAGTTGTCCCTGTCAAAAGG